TATATATATATATTAGGGCCGGCGGTTAAAGGGATGGGGTGTAAGAATAGTATTTAATTATTATAAATATCGATTATTTTTTATAAAAAAAAAAAAACATGTGTTTAGAGATTTCCCTTCAACTCCAAAAAAAATAAAAAGATGCGAACAAACTTTTATGTTTTTACTTAAATATTAATTTGCAAGAACAAACTTTGGCAGCACATCTTTTAGCCAGTTGACAATGCAAACATGCGTTATTTTTCTCGACCACTATTTATTTATAGCTAACTTATTGCTAAAGATCACCAACTTCGATTTTCATAGAGAGCTAGACAATATATTTAATTGTGATGTCGATATTTTTATTAATTAATTATCATGCAACTCTTCATGCTATACAAGATTTTATAAATGCTTAGTTCATTAGATATACGAAAAGGCCAGACAATATTCTCATATTAAACATTTCAATTTCACTGCACATCTTCTCCCAATATTATTTATCTTATATATCCATTGACTTATGAAACAGAGAATTTATTATCAATAATTATTTTTTATTTAATTTGGTTTTTATTAAAAAAATAATCAAACATAAATTAAAAAAAATCAAAATTGGTTCAAACTAATTGATTTCGATTCTCTTTTTTAGGAAAAAAACCGATTCCAACTATTTTGGCTCGATTTAATTTGTTTTTCTAGTTTGGCTTGGTTTTTATGTTTTTTGATTTGGGTTTGATTCGGTTTGGTTTTTTTAATTTCAGGTTTATAAAACCAAAATCAAACCGAAACGATCAATTTAAAAAAATATATAATTTGTTTTTTTTCATGGTTTTGTTTTTTTAGTTTTTTTCTAGTTTAATTGATTTTTTGGTTTTTTTTCTCACCCATACAATCCATCATTTCATGAGAAACTTGTTTTTTCTAGAACGATCAAATCTATAATCAAACCCATATGTCTTAGTCAATAACACAACCCATGAAAAATTCAATTCTTATATAATTTTTTTTTATAACTTTTTTGTTTGGGATTGTTTATGGGGATTTAAACAAAAAACTAATTCATTCTTGTTTCATACTTTTCACTTTTCATTGAACTCTTTTTATAATTGATTAAACTCTAGGATAAAGAAGAGTAATTAATCTTTATTTTATATAAATTCTAATTCTTTCAGGTCTCAAACAACTCTTATATCAAAAACAAATACCCAATAATATTATTACAATGATATATATGCATTTTTGTACTCATTCTCATGCACAACAATAAACTCTCATGTATATACTATTGAATGTTGAATAACATCTCTAATTTTATGAATAGATATCTCTTATAAGAAAAAACTCTAAGTATAAGTTGAGATTTATAAATCAATAGAATTTTGAACACAAGCCCATCAAGTGTGATAATATCTGTTTTATTTTAAAATATTACACACTTAATTTTTCAAAAACTATATTTTCACAAATAATAACTTAAATAACTATAAAAAACTCACAAAACCCAATAATACATGCCAAACATGAGATATATTCTAGAACATTTTACATAATACAATAATATAATACATAAATCTTTTTCAATAATACTTTATAAATTTACAAGTGGATAATATTATACTATGAACCTTATTTTATTTTTTAGTTTTATAATCTTAACTTCGAGATCATTTGTTATATTAGCACAGGTCTTCTAGTAAAAAAAATATCACCAAACTTATTTTTATCACCCAGAAAAAAATGCACCAAACTTTTCTTTGAATCTTCAACTGGAAATGCTAAATATGAAATGGCTCTTGAATCCATGCCGACTCATTGACATTGCCACCCAAACTTCTATTTTTATTTTCTGAAAGGCTTAATTATGATGCCATCAAGTGTCATTAGTGTCTATAATTTTTCTCGTAAAAAAAAAAAAGTTCATGTACCCATGACACGTATTGATTTTTTTTTTTTTAATTTGAGTACGAATCTTTATGAGACTTGATCAAAGTATCGTGGTGGATTTTGTTGCCGGGA